CACACACACACACACACACACACACACACACAGCCTAAAGGCACTGTTGGTGAATGCGTGGGCACAAAATATTACTTTAGGCACTAGTACTGATTAGTACTGATTAGTACTGATTAGTAATGATTGATAACTATTAAGACCAAAAATTTGTCACATTTGGATTCATCACTCAATCAGACCTTTTGACCCGTTCAGTTTGGTTCTTGTGCAACTTGCCATGCCTCAGCCTTTCTCCCTGTTTCCCAGCTTCTTGGCAGCCACCCTTGTGCTGAGTCCATTTCTAACAAGGATTCAGTGAACTGTAGGTCGATCAACTGAAGCGTCAGATGCATCTCTCGGTTCCTGTGTCAGGTCTTTGCTGGAGTCTTGTTGTTTTTTTAAGAACGTTCATCTGCTGTAGATAGTTTTTTAGGGCAGCTACCTTTTCTTTTGTTCTCCATTTGTCCAGTTTCTTTCATTCTTTTAAGGATAAGCTGCACACCATGATGAAATGTGCCAAGTTTGGGGGTAACTGATTGTTGGGACACACTGTGTTGGTGCCAAAATGTTATTTAATCAGTATATTATCGTGCTCATTGAACTGTGGTATCTTTGGCATTTTTTGTAGATTCAGCTAAAGAAATGAGAACAAATGACATTTTTCTCTGAAAGACTGCTAGTAGTCTGTTTTCTGTTATGCATAGACACAACACTGGTTCATCTACCGGATCAGGTGCATTTTTATGCTTTAATGAGTCATAGGTCAGAATTGTTGTAGTTTTGCATTTTCTCATTAGATTTTGTAAATTTTCTCTTTGACTTTTTGCTTTTAATTTGCTCTTAAGTTTCACTTTAGTTTCCAGAGTTGATTTGCTTATTTCCATTTAGCTTTTATTGTTTGAAAATGTTTAGTTTAGTTTAGTTGTTAATAGTTTCAGTATTCACTTTACTTATAGTAGTAGTAGTTTACTTGTAATTAGTTTATAGAGTGTGCATATCAGAGGGAAGATTTAGGAAAATTAGTAGAGATACTGATTGACTCACAGACATCAGGCAAGTTTTTCATAAAACTAATAGATACTAAAACACATTACCATGTATTTGTATTTTATTTTAGTTATTTTGCTTTTTGTCCTTCTCACTACCAGTACCATGAAACAATACCTGCAGCTTATTCAGTTGCCACGGGTAGTCCAGAAGGAAGGTTTGCTGTGTCCCCTAGCACAGTCTTAAGTGTGTGGAGGCGTTATCAGGAGAAGGGCTCTTACATGAGGAGAGCTAGAGAGGGCCAACATGGGGGTTAACAGAGACCTCCACGCGTTAGCCAGTTAACAGTACCCTGACTGCTCTTAGGGCCCTGAAGCCATGCCACATTACTGATCGTTTGGTCAGAAACATCATCATGAGTGGCCTGATGGAGGTGATTTTCACAGGACTCTGGCACTTCTCCACCCATTCCTCCTTGTACAAAGGAACAGATCCTAGCCCGTTCCATGGGCATTTTTTACACGGTATATTTTAGGTCAGCATCAAGCAGTTCCAGTGAGATAACAATGAAGATCTTCACAATATTGTTAAAGTAAGTTAAGTATTCTGTAGTGACGCCATATCTTCAGGATTTCTCCTGAGGATGATGAAGGTGTTGCTGCTGAGGACAGGTGGAAGCAGGAGACTAATATGTTGACTGCAGAGTTATAAGTCACAATTTTGTCAGCATGCCAAGACAGTACTGCAGAGCTGGAGACACTGCTGATGCTTCTGTGACTCCCTCTCTGTCTCTCGCTCTCACTGTGTGTGTGTGTGTGTGTGTGTGTGTGTGTGTGTGTGTGTGTGTGTGTGTGTGTGTGTGTGTGTTCAGAGGTGATGGTGGACAGAGCTGCTGAATAATGAACATTGCGGTGTCACTGCAGTAAGGTGAAGCAGTCGCACACACATACACACATCCTCACAAACACTTATATTACCTGATTACACACGTCAAGGACCAAGGACTGGCTTTCATCGTATTTCTCTACTTTACAGGAATTCCTACAAAACAAGCACAAAAAAAATGCAAGAAGTTACAATCTATAGACTAAACGTGCTGTGACACTTTAATTAGCACACACTGTTTCCACAACCATTGAGCTGTGAGCATTTCTCTGCTTTGGTGTTTAGACAGATATCAAAGAAAGACCAGTGATGCACATACACACATGTAGAATCATACTGGTGCTGCTAAACATCTGGAGAGCTCACAAGCTGTAACATACTACATCTCTAACATGTGAAATGAAAGTGAGGAAGACATATATTGCCCTCACATGCTTCTTTGTAAGCCGGTCCTGTTGCAGCGCATACCACGATGAGAGTAAAATGCGAAGCAAGCATGCGTGAGAGAAACGTGCATCAGTACTTACAACAGAAAACAGAGAAACTTGACTTGTTCAGATGTCCTGAGGCCAATAGAATAGGACAAAAGCAGAAAAGTTTGCGGGTTGCACGACAGACGAGGGGGAGGAAAGATGAAGGATGAAAGGGATTAAGCAAGTGAAGGAGGGATTTTGATAAGGGAACAAAGAACAAGAGACAAAGGAGAGCAAGTGAGCGACTGGAGGTGCTTGGCTCAGCATTTTTAATAATCAGCAGATAAAGTTTGGCAATAAACACAAGATGCCAACAGACATGGAAAAGCTGAAACTGGTCCAACGGCTACAGCTGTAACAGCACTTTAAGAGTCTGAATATAACACGTTTGAGAACTGTGTGAATATCCAGTGTATCGGTGATAATGTTATGACCTCAGACCTTCGAGCTCATGGGGCAAGAAAGAAGGTTTTCATGTTTTTGAGACTTACTTGATTGTTCTCTCTTTGTTTTTCTTGGGAATCTGCCTCCCTTTCTTCTCCACCTGAGGTTGCCTTGCCTTTTGTTTCTCTCCTTCTTTTACTTTTTTCTCCGGCAGAGACGAGGTACTGGACGTGTCCTCGTTGCTCAGAGATTTTGAAGGTTTAAAAGGGTCCACAGAAACATCAATATTGTCCGGGTCAAAGCTGTAGGAGCTTCTAGGAAGCACTGGAGAGTTGTTCACCTTGCTATTGCTACCAAATGGATTGAAGTTTGGGTCATCTGACTGACTGGGATCAAAGTTATATGATCCTGTCTTAAGAATAGGAACATCGTCCAAGTTCAAAGGTGTAGAAGAGTCTGAAACTGGAAGAGAAACTTCCAGATCAGGCTCTGAAACTGGCTCTGGTATAGACTGGGGGACTGGTTCTGGTGCTGGCTGTGAAAGTGTTTCTAACACTGTGGGTTCTGGTTCAGGTTTGCAGGAAGCCTCGGATCCTTTGGGCTTCTGCTTCTTTGTAGCAAGTTTACTGATTGTCTTTTTCCCTCCTAGGTTCTTTGGAGGAGGTCTGCTGGCTGGTCCTTCATCCAGGCCAAACTCCATCATCACGGGCTTAACCTCAGATGATGGATTTGTTGTTTCCGAGTGTGCTTGTGCTGCTGAGCTGGCCTCTCCGAGCGGCTCGAGTCTGGGGAAAGAGCCCGGTTCACACGGTGGGGGAGAGTTTTGGATTTTTGATCCGCCGCTGGTGAATGGGTTAAAGCTCTCATCCAAAAGGTCAAAGTTATATGTGACCTTAGGGACAGGAAGCTCTTCTTCCTCGTTTGTGTTAGCAGCGTTATTCAGCGAGGACTTCATTTTCAGAGATGGAGGTTTGGATTTCCTCGTTTTACTCTTTTGAGTAGGCTCTGCCTCGTTGGACAGGCCATTGTATTGTGCCTCTGGTTCAGTAGGAGGTTTCTCCTCAAGGGGCTCTGGAGCTGAGAGGATTTCAGGTTCACTGCTCAGGATTGAATCTGGTTCTGAGGAAAGAGCAGGACCCAGAGCTGGAGCCAGATCTGGGACTGGATCAGCTGCTAGAAGAGTAGCTGGGACTTGGGATGACTCAGAGGATGGAGCCACTTCCTTCTGTGTGGATAAATCAGCAGCAGGCAAAGAGCCCAAATCTGCTGGAAATTTCACCGTTTGTTCTTCTTCTAGGGTCTGAATGTTTATTTCGAGCGGGCCACCCATGGGGACTGCAGGCTCATCCTGACCCATGTTGTGGCTGAGCAGAGTGTCCTGATCCCTGACAGGAGCAGTCACTATCAGGTTCTCCTCCTGCTCCAACTCTGTGGAAGAAATGAGACCCAAAACACCAGAATTAATCATAAAACCAAAACAAGTCTTAAAAATTAATACACACTCCTGCTGCCAGTGCTGTTCTCTTTAATAACACGCCAGCTCAGATGTCAGTGATATCTGATTGGCTCTCTGAAAGCAGGTTAGTCACCAGCCAACTGTTCCAATTGCTGCTGTTGCCATGGTAAAATGTTACTATGAGGGCCATGACATTTGTACAAACTCATGCATATGAAAATAAAATTAAAAAGGTGGAGTGGTTTATCATGTTGTGTGTGTTTTAGACAGTAGTGATGGTGGCTGCTGTGGCGCAATCATTAGCTCCAGGGAAGATTTTGAGACCACAGCATATTTCAGCACGCCTGTCATACTCGCCGTGTTCATGTAACATTATGTTGCCAGGAAACAAGCAAAGCCTGCCGATACTTCTACCCAGTTCCAGTCGGATGTCGCCAAAGTGTCACTTTTGACTCCTTTAGTACAAATATAAACTCTGTTGGTGGCGCTTGTCATGTCAGATAGATCTCACTAAGCTGCACTGCCTGTTTCACCAATAACATGAAAATTATCTATCTGATAAAATGTCATATGTGCCTTAAATAGTATAGGCAGTGATCTGTACTTGTAGTGACCCCAGGCAGATGTCAGTCACATCTCTAACTGTGACCACACCTTTAACTCTGCAGATAAGAGAGAAGGGCAAAACCACACTACCAAAAGGTCCTCATTAATACTTAATACATAACCCTAATTAATCCTACTTTTATTGATCTATAGACGCTGTTTGAATCCTAAAGATTAAAGTAATATATTAAGCTACAGTAGTATTAAAAACTGTTGTTATGCAGATCCAAAATTCTCTACACGTGATGGTTTTCGGTTCTTGTAGATCGACTGTGATCTGTACACTTGTAAATAAAGCCCACTGAGTCAGTGTGGAGAAAATTTCCCTGAGATTGCATCTCAGTTACATTGTCAACAGAAAACAGTTTAATAGGTTATAATATAGTAGTGATTCGTTTAACCCCGCTGAGATCAAATTGGGCTTATATGGTCCGTCATCTAAAGTGAGTTGCACACCCATAAAATAGTTATAAACTGTCATCACGCAGATGCTGATGTAGTAATGGAGACTTTGGATGGACACAGGCAAACACTGGCATTAGCATGTTTACTATCAACGATGTTTCCAGAGATGCTTCAGCTCCTCCCTGCCCGAGATCAAACTTAGAAACAGCTGTAGGGAGAGATGTTTGCAGTTTGAATGGAAACTCCCTCCTCTCTCCACACTTTCTGACCTTTGCAACTTACTCTTTTATAAAATGTTGTTGGAGCTGTTTTACAGGATGGACTTAATCCTACGAAAACCACAACAGCCACACAAATATGAGGACTACTAAAAATCAACTACTAAAAATCAACATGGGCCCAAAGCATGATAGCTTTGGGCCCATGGCTTGCTTTGTGCTCCCTTCATACTGACCTCTGTCAGTGACTACTACAAAGCAGGGCGGGGCTTTAGATGAAGCTTTTGTTGAACCTGTTGAATTCCAGAGCAAAGGCCTTTCCCACACTCTGCTACAGGCTCCTCCTTTTGGTGATTCAAAGGACAAAGTCAAGGCTTCATCACACCCAAAATCCTTCCTCATCTGCAAACCAGCTTAAATACCAAGCATGCAGAGCATATTTGGCCACCTTCAGGTATTAACCTTAATTATGTTTAATGAAGTGCATTCTGCATTTGACTGCTTGTCTGTACCCCACATCGTAAGTCATTACTCAATCACACAAACGTTCATTTTAGCATTAAAAAAACATTATTTTGTTGACACACTCTAAACACATGTCCCTCTTGTTGACTATGAAGATAAACACAAATGTGACACCTGAGCATTTAGTGAAGCATCTACCCTTGTTTCCATGGCAACCTTGAAGCTACTGCTTTGTGTTGTGCACTCGAACAAGCATTTCTTCTCATATGTTGAATACTGTAGAGCTACTGCTGTTAAGATGTTACAGTGGACAGCTTCTCATCATCGCATTTCTGTCTGTCTGCTGTTGGCCTCACCTGTTTTGTCTGCATCAGAGTTGTTGTTCTCCAGCTCTCCTGGGATGGTCGGCGGGGCGCGGACAGGAGTCGCTGCCTCAGGAGTCGCTGCCTCAGGAGTGCCAAAATGACCCTCTGAGTCAGAGCTGCGGTAGTCAGCGAGAGATACATATGAGAGAGAGAAAGATTAAAACATTCAAAACATTAGAAAGGAGCACAGAAGTGATCATATTACAAAAACAGAGAGCACGAGACAGAAAAACTCCTGCTGCCAAAAATAAAAATGAAAGACAAATAAAAATGAAAACCAAACAAAACAAAAACAAACAGATGCACTATATTGATTCCTGGTATCATAATGTACAGATAGTCCCAGGTCAGACCAAGGGTGGAATTCGCCTCTTGTGCTACATAAATAAATACTTTTTAGAAGCATGAAGAGGTGAAAATACAACATCTTGCAACCCCCTGGTGGTAGCATCACCACCTGGGGGTTAATAGTACTACAGAATAATGATTTCTATATTGATTTAGAGCAGGGGTATTAAACATTAGGCCTGGGACCAGAACTGGCCCAACAAAAACTGCGCATTGTCGGTCTTTGGGAGATGTAAAGGAGGGAAAACAAATTGTTAAAATTAATTTTACTTATAAAAAACTGCTCCATGGAAAATCATAACACACCAAAGTAATTAAGTAATTGATAAACAATTAAATAAGAGAAAAATTCATGTTTTTTTTTTTTCATTTTCTTTGTTCCTTTTCACAATTACAGGACAGTCAGGGCAACAAGCAACCAGAATTTCTTTCTAAAATTTTAAGCATTCGTTGCTTATAATTTAAGGTCAAAGAATTGTGCTGACAGACGTCTTTTCATTTACTACAGCAGCATTTCTTAATGAGCTGAGATGAAATATTGAAAATGTACATGTTTTTCTTATATAAAGATATCTGCAAGTGACAATGCATATTTAAACCTACACTGAAAGGAAGAGCCATTTCACAAGTGACGCATGATGTAAATTAAGTTTGACATCTAGAGGATTCTGAGTAACAAAAATCAAATATAAAAATCACATTTTATTGCAACTTAAATGTGCCACTGTCCCAGCTATTATCCTCTGCTGTTGCATTATGCCTTGGAAAGACTCAGTATCTGAACTGGTGAAGGAGTGAAATACAGATAAAGTGAAAGATATATAGAGGAAGAGGAAGTGCAAGTAAGCCAGCCCACTATTTCCTGTTACATTGCTAGAATCATGGGGTATGAAGTATGAAACTGTAACATCCAAGCTGTAAATGATGTATTAAATCAGAATATGAACATTAAAACAGAATAAAATGATGTGTGATTTTATAACATTGCATCATTCGATTAGATCTAGCAGTAAGAATTGCTGTTGCTCTGGTTGAATCTAATTTCACAGGATAGTAAACATGGATTTTGTCATTTGATTACTTGATACCCGATGACAGGATATTGTGTCTAGTTGAGTGTGCAAGAGTGGAAACAGTTGTGAGCTTACTTGGAGCAATAGTAAGTATCCATAGTGTCAAAGCAGGTACACGAGGACCTGATAACTTGGGAGCCTGTTGTGTTTGTGTGATCTGAGCAATGATTACCTCGTTGAGCTACCTGCCTGTGCAGTGTGAGTGTGTGCGTTCTTGTACAGATCTGACAACGTGCCAGTGAGTCTAAGAAAAACACTCAAACGTGGTGACAATCGAAAGCACAGCCACACCACAAATGTGTCCGCCCTGCAGGACAACGCAGCACGCGAAATATAAAAAATGACACCAATATTTTTTCTCCTCCTCCCTTTCCTCGGCCTATTTCATCAAACCCTTAAAACAGCAGAGATTCTTCAACCTGACAGGCCGACGAGCAGGTAAATAAAACTGTGTGAGCCACCCTATCAGTAGTCACGGGGGCTCCAGCGCAACACTTGCCTGCAGCCTTGAGATCTCTCCTCCTCGTCTTCGTCTACTCTCTCTCCACGTTGCTCCCTCTCCTCGCTGGCCTCCTGCCCGTCTTCATCCTCCTCTCCCTCTCCCCCGCGCACTGCCGTCCATGTCCATTTAGCCCATGACACGGGTGAGAGCCAAGACATCACTCTTTATTCCAGCAGGGTCCTCTGACCCTCTCTCACCGATAGCCGTGGATTGGTTTCCAGCACTTGACTGATCCTTTTCTGATTCTTCCTCAGGTTTCCACCCAACCAACAGCTCTCACATCTTTCTATAGAGGTTCCCACTTCTCACACTTCTCAGTTTCCCATGAAGGGAACTACACATTTTTACACTACCCAACTTCTATATCACTAATCTCAAAATTACAAAGACTTGAGCTGCGTTCTCTGCCCTTCTTATTCTTATTTCCAGTCACGCTCTCGTCTCTGTCGCTCTCTCTCCCTCTGTCTCTGTGGCTGAATACCTCAGCTCTGATCAGCTGGTTTATCAAATGCTGTGCTCACTCTCTTCTCCTCTCAACCCCCTACAAACTCTCCCCTCCACCTCGGAACAGCTCACTGACAGAAAATGCAGTGGGGGAAGGCAGTGAGCTGTCAGCTCAAAGAATGAATGCAGCTTCTCTTTAGGCTTCTACATGACTTCCCCCACGGTTGAAGAATGGTATGTCCCTGTCAGGCCGCTCTTCCACTCTGAAGCAGAAGGAGGGAGTCACAAAACACACACCGAGGGAGGAGGAGGAGGAGGAGAAGGCCTAGGGAGTGGAGGTAGAGGAGGAGCAGAGCTGTTTGGGGCTCCACATTTTATAGTCCAGAGAGAGGTTAGGAATGTGGGGCTGGATCTTAAAGCCCCTCCACCCCCACTCCTTTGTAGACTGTTTAACAGTTAACTGTTTCTCCCATCCAGTGGCAGCCAGACATGCATGACCAGGGGAACCAGTTCTGCATTTCTGTTGGAAAGCCCCAGCAGATATACCTGGCTGGATTCAATTTGTCTGAGGTAGCAGTTCAGACCACTGAACTGGCAGGAAACCAAAGTCTTCAACGCAGTCAGGAACGGGTGGTAAAAAAAACAAAACACCCCACTGTAGCAACTTAGAAGGAGAAAATTGGGTCTTAAATCTCTCAACAGAGCAATAAAATGGCCCTCTAAATACAGCAAAAAAGTCATTCACTACATTTCCATGAAAACCAACAGAAAAAAAAAATATAAAAAAAATATATACGTGTGTGTGTGTGTGAGTGTGTGTGTGTGTGTGTGTGTGTGTTACAGAGAACCCAAAAGTGGCTTGCTTCTAGGACAATGATTTCAAATGTGCTTTTTTTTATTACATGCAATAAAAGGTGAACTTCTTAAAAGTTGAGAAAATCTATCATCCTGCCAATTATATCAGACCTTTATTTACTTTTACACAAGACAAACACAGCAACAGATCATCTGGAGAATAGTTTAAGTTGATCTAGGTGGTTCTAGATACAAGAGAAGTCTAGAAATAGACAATGTCTGTAAATTAATATATCACATGAAGAGACAATCTCAAGCAAATGATGTCAGTAAAGAAGAAAAACACTCACAATACACATACAGAACAGGGGGCAGTGGCATATCCATGTATAACTGGCTAATAAGAGCTATACAGCAGTTTTTGCTGTAGATTTTCTGCACTCCTTCAACCACCTGCTGCAACAGCAAAAGCTTCTTGTGTTTACCCAGACAGACAGCACAATAATACATCCTATTTCTGTAGTCTTGTTGTATTAAGGTGCCAGAAACTTCAAGGCTTGGTTCGTCTGCTGAGCTGCTAAACTCCTCCCAAGTTCCCATCGAGGAGCAAATACACAGACGTGCTTCAGTCAGGCTCAAAGTTTCCACATTTGACCAGAAAGGGTGGAGTTTTCTACCCGCTTATTTACAGTCTGATTCTGGTAAAGATTGTGCCTGGAGTGAGGACAAAAACTGTTCCTGCATACTAAAGACATCATCTCACAAGCATGAAGAACTACTTGTGCTTTTATCTTTGAGTTGGTATCTGTTTATTTTATTTTTTTTGCCTGTGAAATGTTTGTTTGTGAAAGACAACATTTTTACTTTTTTTTTTTAAGTCACAGAGTAGCAGCAAAGTCCTACCTTGGGTTGGGTTTTACTAGGAGAATAGATTAGCATCTTCCCACAAGTTACACGAGTGGTAATCCTGATCACTGATCGATATTTACGTCACGTTTGCGTGATAGAAACAAAGGTGTGTTTCAGTGCAGAAGAGGAAGTCTGCATATTTAAACCTTATAAACCTAATAAATAGCTCCTTCTATCGGTGGTGAGGGGTCTCTGAAGATGCATGCGAGACAGGGATAAGCATGTTATATAAGTAAAGGTGCCTATGACTTCCCCTACTAAAAAATATACATATAAAATGAGAACTATACGTTGAGATCTTTTTTTTTTTTTTTAAAAAGCCAGAAAATAACATTGAACTGAGTACTAATATCTTTTGTTTGCCATTTACAAACCATCGAGGTTTGTGGACCAGTGCTTTACTTATCTAAAAACGGCATCAATAAACATCAGCATGAGGCAGCTGTGTGTGTGAATGTGTGTGTGTGTCTCCAGATAAAAGACCACCCCATACTTAACGGCTGCCACAGCCACAGACCAGAAAGCTTCAGCCAAGGAGTCTGAAGCACCACCAGAATCCAAACACAACTCAAAAGAGCTCAGATTTCAAGCCCAGCACGAGGTAGCCAACAGGCATTTTCTAGAAAACAGAAAGTCACTAGTAACAGACAGAATAACAATCTGGCCTCTCCCGCTACTGTGATGTTTATTCTAAGCTGACACATCAGTTGAAATTCTGACTTTCCTACTACAAATACACTAACTGCACACTTATGTTTAGTCTCTGTGTCAATATGGCTGCAACCGATATTGGAAACAATGCGGAGATCAAATGTACAAACTGTATTCAGGCTGTGTCAACAGTCATCACTTTAAATGTTCTATCACCATAAATAGAGTGGGAGACAATAGAGGAACCATGTGATTATATAACAGCCATTCCTGTGGAGCCTAAAATAAGTGCAGACACACAAAGAGATGGCTTGGTCTCAGCAAATCCCAGAAAACTAACTGAATGTTCCCGGAAATTAATTAATGTAAAAAGAATGGGACATAAAGGGCAGAGGATGAAGAGCCGAGGAGAAGGAAAACAAAGAGGAAGGAAAATAATGAGCACGCTGCCACAGGACTGCAGTAGCTATGTGTGTGTGTGTGTGTGTTTGAGGAACAGAAATGGGAGAGGAAGAACCTGCAAATAAATAACCCATGCTAGCACAATGGTTTCTTACTTCTGCCTTGTGAGGAAAACTAACACGTCAGGCCAGCAAATGTGTGAAGCTCTAAGTGACACACTTGCAGTAATGTGACATGGCACTTTCAACAGCTAGCTGAAGAAAAAACTACAAGATGTGATCACATTCTTCCAGAGATGAGTGCAAGTAAAACTACTGCAAATGTCACACCACGCCTCAGTAATCTGCTCCTCTGAGCTGGCAAGCTGCAGAATCAGTCGACTGCACAGGCATCTAGTGGTCAAAAAGCATAATAACAACCAGAAAAACTTCACAAAATTTCATCAGGTGAAAAACTTAATAAAAACCATGCATTATCTTTTTTTTACCGTAATTGCTATATGACAAGCACGCATAGAGTAAAGTCTCGGTTCATAGTCAACAGGCTCAGTATTGCTAAGAAGGTATTTTTTTGTGTATTACTCAGAAAACTGACTTTTCCCATCCATTCATCTTCTTCTGCTTATCCAGGGGGCCAGTTCACGGGGGCCTCAGCCTAAGCAGAGAAGCCCAGACCTCCCTCTCCCCAGCCACCAAGCCTCCAGCTTATCTGGGGGAGCACCAAGGCGTTCCCAGGCCAGCCGAGAGATATAATCTCTGCAGTGTGTCCTTGGTCTGCCCCGGGGCCTCCTCCCAGTGGGACATACCCAGAACACCTCACCCAGGAGGCATCCTTGTCAGATGTCCAAGCCACCTCAACTGGCTCCTTTCGATGTGACTTTTTCCATGACGTGCTTAACTTCATGGAAGTGATTGTTAAACTGGTTCTCTGTCTTGAAAAAAATATTTGGAAAAACCATCAAGCGCTACGATGAACCTGGCTCACATGAGGCCCGCCCCAGGAAAGGAAGCCCAAGAATCACCTCTGCTTCTGAGGATAGATTCATCCGAGTCACCAGCCTCAGAAATCGCAAGTTAACAGCACCTCAGATTAGAGCCCAGATAAATGCCACACAGAGTTCCAGTAGCAGACACACCTATACATCAGCTGTTCAGAGGAGAGTGCTCGAATCAGGCCTTTATGGTCAAGAAGCCACTACTAAGAAAAAACAACAAGCAGAAGAAATTTATTTGGGCCAAGAAACACAAGGAATGGACATCAGATTAGTGGAAATCTGTGCTTTGGTCTGATGAGTCCAAATTTGAGATCTCTGGTTCCACTCGCCCTGTCTTTGAGTGACGCAGAGTGATGGAGTGCTGCGCCAGATGGCCTGGCTTCCACAGTCACCTGACCTAAACCCAGTCGAGATGGTTTGGGATGGACCGCAGAGTGAAGGCAAAAGGGCCAACATTGCTCAGCACCTCTGGGAACTCCATCAAGACTGTTGGAAAACCATTACAGGTGACGAGCACATGAAAGCTCATCGAGATAATGCCAAGAGATAAAGCAGTAATCAAAGCAAAGGGTGGCTGTTTTGAAGAATCTAAAATATAAAACATGTTTTGAGTTATTTCACACTTTTTTGTTTTTTGTTTTGTTTTTTCTGTTATGTTCAGGCCTACCTCACCCTGTGTAAAGACATAAATGCCCCCTAAACATAATAACTGGTGTTGCCACCCTTAAGAGCAAGAACTACAATCAAGCATTTCTGATAATGAATCTTTGACGTTACAATTTTGGTCATGTCTTCTTTACAGAATTGTTTTAATTTAGCCACATTGACGGGTTTGATAATGAATGGTTTAAGGTCAAAGCATCTCAAATGGATTTTATTCCAGACTCTGATTAGGTCGCTTAAAATATTCACTTTTTTTCTTCTTCTTTTGAGGCATTCAGAGGCAGATTTGCTGGTGTGTTTTGGGTCATTTCCCTGCTGCATAACTCAAGTAAGCTTGAGATTCAGAAATTCTCCTTCAGGATTTTCTAGTAAACGGCGGAATTCATGGTTCCATCAATTAAGGTGAGTCGTCCAGGTCCTGAAGCAGCAAAACAGCCCCAGACCATCACACTACCACTACTACTAAAATACTGTGTTAGTTTAGTGCAGATGTGACTTAGATCTTTGAAAAACTTCAGCTTTTGTCTCATCAGTCAACAGAATATTTTCCCCAAAGTCTTGGGGATCAAGATGTTTTTTGGCAAATGTGAGGTGAGACTTTGCGCTGTTTCAGTCAGCAGTGGTTTTCTCCTTGGAGCTCTCCGGTGGATGATATATTCACACTTTCTTATTGTTGAATATTGTTGAACTCTGACCTTAATTGAAGCAAAAGAGGACTGCAGTTTTTCAGATGTTGTTCTGGATTCTTTTGTGATCTCCTGGATGAGCCGTTCATGTGCTCTTGGAATAATTTTGTTAAGCTGAACATTTCTGTTCCACAAATAGAGAAAATTGCTTCTTGTTTTCTCCATTTGTCCATAACAGCTCTTCCTGTGGTTAATTCAACAGGTCTGGCAGTAATTAGGTTTAGGTGTCATTAGCGACACTGAACTTAGTGTTTAAAAAAAAAAGTAGTTAATCATGGTTAATTCAGGATTTAACAAGATGGGCAATTACTGTTCCACACAAGGCCAAGTAGATTTGGAGCCCCCCCCGCCGAAATCAACAATTAAAAACTGCATTCTATGTAATTAGGTTATAATGTCTGATGATCTGAAACATGTGTGACAAGTATACAAAAATAAAAAAATCAGAAAAGGGGCAATGCTTTTTCACAGCATTGCAACCTATTAAAGCCTTTTGAATGCCAGTATATTCATTCAAGAAAATCCAGATAAATGTGATAGCGTAGCATAACAAAACAAAATAACTATATCTATGCTTTTTATGATAGTTAATGCTTGCAAATTAACATTAGCAATAATTTTCTTAGCCTCTTGGTAACAGGGCCAGCCTTTTGCTGGGTTTCTGTTCCCTCTTATGTAAAATTGAACTAAAACAGTAATTTAAATGAGAAGCAGACACCTACAAAGTAAGTCAAAACAAATCAAAAATGAAATGTGGACGCACAAAAAGACAGGAAAGACAAGAAAAGACGAACAGTTAAATTAATTGTTCATTTTAGTGGTTTGTGTAACTATGAACGCGGTCCACCGTTAGGTGGCGGTAAAGATCCTCATAACAGGGAAAGAAGTCCGCCACACCTAAAGAAGACGTACTTCCGTCGTGACGCAATCGTTAGTAGTAAATGGCGGTCACCAACAGGCCGGACTATAAACATTTCCACGGTTCCAACTGTAACTGTCTAATTATCATCAAAACATGTACTCGGCTGTATCGCACATACAGGATAGTTATAAGATGTTTATTTTCAACTTTCAGGTCGGCTCATGCTCCGTGCTGAGAGGAAGTTTACAACTAAAAGGACCAAGAAAACGAAAGAAACGGTAAGAAGAAACGGGTGTTAATATCTGTGCTCAGTTCGCTTATACACGCGTGCAGTTACATGACTTGATAAACACCCCGTGTGTTACATATGCGGACAGGTCTACAGGTTTTTTCATATACCCGTTGCTGCCTGCTAAGCGCTATCGTTTTGTTTTAGGTTAACAAATGGAGAACGACGACAGTCACGAAGAAAAAGACACGGAGCCTGAAGTGGCCGAACTCCGGCTGAAAGTCGAATCTTTGAAACAGGAGCTCAAAGAGTGCCGAGCCGAGCTGGCCAAGTTACAGAAGCAGCTGAGCCACTCCGAAAGACTGCAGCGGAGCACGGAGGGCTATAACGAAGACCTGAGGAAGCAGGTCAGTTCAAATGAAAAGAAGCCAAACATATCATAGAGATGGGAGACATATCCTCCAAATTATATCACGATGCAACAAAAGATTTTGCGATAAAGAAATTCTCACAATATGGAGATCGATTTTATTTTCCAATGAGCTACTGTCATGGATTACCGACTTCCTAATTTAAAGCAGCAGCACTGTTACAGTGAGATAGCAGTGGCACAGCATTAATCAAACAACAGCACAACATTAGCCTAAGTGGTGTTTTCATCTGGAAATCTTTAAAGGTAATTAGAATCACTTCACTGTCTAACTCTTTAGGAGCTGCACAATATTATCACAGAACAAACATTGAAAAATAATCTCTACCTGCTTTGTGTATTTAAACCGTCTGCTTAAAGTCTTGATTCTCCACCAAATAACTTCATCGTTGTTTTCCATTTGTGTTTGATCTTCCTGTTACATGGAGTGTAACTAGTGAGTGCTCTGAATGATGCTCGATGGAGTCAAATGTTTACTATCATGTTGCCAGTATCTCCTCTTTCTCAGCCTGATTATACTTTGCGGTGTGTTTTTGTGGTGGTCAAACAAATTTGTCACTTTGCTTTGTTGGAGGTACTAAATGGTAACTGGAGGCTAGCACTCGGATATAACCAGGCTTGTCTTATTGTTGCGTACCGAGTAAACGAGTTGAATTACTGTAGCAATGATAATGAGATATGACATTTTTAATATGATGCAAAAATCTACACCGGCATTAATGCAGATAATCTAGACAGTCTAGATCTAAATGATGTCATATAGTAGTTTTGTTTGTTCTGAGGTGTATCTTGAGCCAGTTTAATGTTTAAAGTGGCAAAAGGGTCCAAGGTTTATTTATTTTTTTAACCTAAGTTGTGCTCTATTTTTCTGCATTATGGTTTAAACCAAGAAAGGAAATCAATTTGAATTTTTGAATGTTTGCGCACTGAATTTTATCTCAATGTGTGTTGGTTCAGGTCGACCAGCTGAGTGCAGAGATTCATGAACGGAAGAAAAAAGATAAAGACAAAGTCGACTGTGAAACTCAAACAGAAGAACATGTATGGACAGAAACTGGTGTGTTACTTTCACATGCGCATGAATGAAATTTGCTCATTGTGTCATTAAGTTTAAAAACAGCCTAAAGCTGTTTTAATATTCCTTTTCAGATTATTATAATTACTACTATGGAGACTACGGTCTGAACTCGGAGGGAGCAGACACTCAGGAAAGCCTGAACACGGTGCCAGCTGATTATGAGGCAGCAGAGAGCTCAACAACAAATCAAGCAACAGCTGCAGATGTGTCAGTTCAGCCAGACCAGACCAGTTTAGCGGTCACAACAGAGGTATCCATGTGTGTCTTTTTATTTTTATTTTTATGTTAGCATTCCTATACTTATAAAAAGAGTCATATTCCATTTATAGTCACCATTATAAAACTATTTGTGTTTCAGGGGAGCGATGGAGGATCTATAGCAGATATGTTGAGGGCCACTGCTGAGGAAGCTATGACACAGACTGGGTTTGTGTTTGATGAGACTTCTGGGATGTATTATGACCACAGCACGGGCTTCTACTACGACTCGGTGTGTGAGCTGTAAAGTTTGGCAGTTTATAATAGAAATTATTTTAGAGGAAGTTTAGTTTGGCACACATTTCTGACATTTTTCACCCCTGTCCATCAGGCCAGTCAGTTGTACTACGATGCCAACTCTGGCATTTACTACTACTACGATGCAGAGAGTGGACGATACCAGTTTCATTCCAGGATTGAGGTTCCTGCTGTGCAGAGTAGTGCAGAGCCGTATCAAGAAAAAACAGACGCTGATAAGAAAGGCAGAAAATTCAAGAAAGGAGTCAAGAAAACATCACAGGATGATAGGGTATGTAATAGTGCAAGATTTTATTTATGCATTCCTTAAAAATGTTACATTTTGTTGCTGACAGCTGGCTTTGACCTTTCAGTTCCCTCTTTAAAATCCAATTTGTTTTGCTGGTCTCAGTCTTCAAATAGATATTTTTTTCTTTCTATATGAAGCTAGTTGACTTAAAGACTATTCCTCTGACCTAGGTGCAAGAGGTGACTAACTCTTTGGCTAAAATGAAGATTTCCTCTTACTGGAAAACTCCTTCCTACAGAGGTATACCTTTTTAATATTAATGTGCAAAAGATTTAAAAGTATGTGTTTGCTTTTTGTTCTTTAAAAAACTGAAAATTAGCTTCTTATTGTACACAGCACCTTAACAATCTTTAAAGGTGACACAGTGAGTCAAACACTGACCCTGGTCTCTGTGTTGCCTGCATTCAATCCTGTTGTGTGAGATACGGCTAATAAAGAGTTAGTGAAGTGAAAAAGTAAACCCATGAACCTCAAAGGACGCAAATAATAGGTTGCTGAAGCTCAGCTCAACACTTAGAATTTGCTGTCAGGCCTGATTTAACCTGGTAAAGGTCTTTAGTGTATTCTCTTTGAAGACTGAGACCGTCTATAAGCTTTCTGTGCCAAAAGATTGGGGATCCACAGTACAAAGTCCAGCTTTCACAGCAGATGGTAGTTTCACTGCTCACTGTCTTAATGACAGGAAGTGAAAAATGACGATGTAAAGCTGGAAGAAGACGAGGCCGACTGGGTTGAAAGGCAAACGACTAAGAAGAAGACAGAATCACGGAAAGCGAAACGAAGGTCTCGCAGTCCAGATGTGGCTCCACGGCGAAAAGACTCGTCCAAACGCAAAGAAGACGGCGACAAATATCCATCAAAGAGAAAAAAGCAGAAAAACGGCTCGCACCATGACGATAAGGGAGACTCAAGGAAGAAAAGGAAGAAATCTAAGTCGGAAAAACATAAAAAGAAAAAGAAGGCCACTCGGAGTGATGGATCTGAGGGGAACAGTGAACCAGAAGAGGGTGAGATCACAGAGTCAGAGAGGGAAGAATGGGAGTCTACCCCCTCGTTCTCGTCGCCCTCGAGCGCAGCCTCAATGGAAAGTCCTGAATCAGAAATGGACACACAGAGTCAAGAAGGTGAGAAGTAAGAGTAGTCTGAATTAACTCACATGGCGTGCACAGTTTGTTTTATCTGGGGCAAGTTTGTTTGATGGACCCGTCACTTTTTGGTAATGCTTGTAGCTGTCTGAGACTTGTCATATTTTTGTGAATATGAGTGTGTGGTGCTTTATTTTTTTTTCCTTGTAGTCAAAGACATCTGGCCTCCCTGTGTAAGAGTGACTGTGGTCAGGTCTCCTGTGCTGCAGGTGGGCACTCTGTTCATCATCACAGCCGACTCTCCAGCCACCATTGGCAGGTCTGTGGGGTTGTTTTCTGTTGCTGTTTGGTGATTGCATGGCAGCAGAAGTGTATTTTGTTCACACATTGCAACAGTGGGAAATTTTAGCACTTTAGTTGCAGTTTGAATTAAATCACTCACAAGATTTCAGAGCCGTTGTTAAAACTATGAGTAGTCAGTAAAAAGAGGTTAAATTGATCTCTCTGTCATATAATAGCCAAGTGAAGACAACATGCTGTCTTTTGTGTTTTCAGAGAGAAAGATATGAACCACGCAATCCGAATACCAGAAATGGGAGTCAGCAAGGTACCTCTCCTTTCCGCTTTCCTGCAGGGATGGAAGTTACTCTGTTATGAATGATTGTCTTTAGTTAACACAGGCTTATGTGATCTTTCTAAATGCCAGTATGTTTGTGGTTCCAGTTCCATGCAGAGGTGTATTTTGAACAGGAGCAGCAGAGCTACATGCTGGTGGACCAGGGAAGCCAGAATGGAACGGTGATCAATGGCAACCGCATCTTACAGGTGAGCATTTTGTTTACGTTTGAGTTGAAAAGAAAAAAGCAAACAAAACCTGAACTTAGCCGATACCACGTCAATGATACTTTCATCTGCAGCCCAAAACCAAGTCTGAGCCACATGCACTGATGCACGGCGATGAAGTGAAGATGGGAGAGACTGTGTTGTCCTTCCATATCCATTCAGGGAACGATACCTGTGATGGTTGTGAGCCCGGTCAGGTGATGGCTCACCTCAGCAAGCACAAGAGAGAAGACAACACTGGTGAGCTACTTAAAGTGAAACACGTCCACAGAGAGGGGAATATCTTCTTTTTTTTTTTTGCATAGATTCATGAAACAACAGTGAGCCTGCTCTTGTTGTAAAAGCTGTGCTCTTACCCAGTGTGAGATTACACTCCTGAGTTTGCTGCTGTTGTTTTCTAAAGGTCCTGCTCTCACCAAAGAGGATAAAGAATCACTGCGACAGAAAGAGCTGAAGCAGATGAAGGCCAAATATGGCCTGCAAGTGAGTGCAAACCTTGGTGCAGTCATAAGTTTTAACCCTCTTGTCTTTTCTTTTCCTTTTTTATAATAATGGAGGCACTCATTTCTCTGCTTTTCTGCAAACAGAGCGGTGACTTTGAGGAGACGAAAGCCTTGAAGAACCCCAAATATAAGGATCGAGCAGAATCTCGAAGGCAAACAGTGGGCAGTGAGGGTGCTTTCCAACGCGATGATGCACCGGCTTCTGTTCATGAGTAAGTGTTAGCAAATGGCTGTAGTTCCACCTGATGGGAAATGCTAGATTCAAGTGTTGATCATTCACTGTGTCTGTTTTCTAAAAGGGAGATCAGTGAAGTGAATAAAGGACGGAAGATGCTGGAAAAGATGGGCTGGAAGAAAGGAGAGGGACTGGGTAAAATGGGAACCGGAATGAAAGACCCGGTAAGACGATCCGCTGATTCTGCTGGTGGAAGTTCTCCTTTGTTTCAGTGCAAAACAGCAATGTGATTCAATTGTCTTCCTTTTCCGTTCCCGTCTTCACAGATTCAACTGAAAATCCGAAAGTCCCAGTCGGGTTTGGGAGCAGCTGCCGCCATGTCTCTGGACGACGCGTCTTTGACTAAATCAAAGTCCCAAAAGAACTGGGAGAAGGCGCGAGAGAGGTTCGCTGATACCCGCCAGCCTGACTCGCTCGTGCCCAAAACCCAGAAGAACACTTCACCCAAAGCCTGGGTCAGATCGGAAGAGACGGAGACCACACCGAACAGCTTTCAAACAGAAGGCCAAAGTTAGGAGTCAGAAGAGAATTTCCACAGATTTAAAAACTGGGCACTTACGCATATTGACACCAAGAGGAAATGTGTCGTTTTCATTTATTTCCTCAGCTGTGAAGAGTCATGCAACCAGTTGAGACTAAATTGAGTTTTACCTCTATTCTTAAGAGTACAGGATATGCCCTCATTATTTTACTGCCACCGTAAAAACAAACAAATAAACATTATTGACCTGTCCTTCAGTGCTGTGCAGTTATATCCTCACTTACAGTGGTTAGGTAACTCTTATTTAATGTAGACCACAATAAGAGTTGCTGAAGGATTGAACTGGA